TGTGGTAGGATAAAGTAAGGTGGCCGCTATCTTGTATGTTAGCATGTGCAAGAAGGAGTAATACACAGCGTACACACATGCATTCCAGATATAGACAGAATAGCATGATACAACATACAAGACTAAATGAACAAAGCTCACGGGGAAGATGCCATGTACCGGAAAAGTGTGTTGTTTTCCAGGATGTCTTCCACACTCGCGTGTACAAACACGAGATCTGATTCGGATAGAACGAAAAAAAAATAATCCTTGTGTATGCGTCAAATCAATGCTCCACATATACATATATATTTACACATGCATTATATATCTATTAAAAACTTACATCGTGAGAGTCTGTTTTTCGTCATCATTAACGGCCGCACAGCACTCGCATACCACGCGACCGGATCTAATACGCCCATTTGCTTTTTGATTGTAAAACACAAACAGCCGGCGTGAGGGCTCATCCAAAGTACCCTAGATCTACGGTTTATCAATCCATTCACTTCTATATAGTCTGATGGTAAAGAAGGGAAAACAGACAAAGAGAAAGAGACAAAGACGAGTTCCCGAAGAAGGAATAATAGTCTTGTTTCTGGAGCTCACAGAAAACAGTACAAGGCATAGCTGCTTCTGTGCCGGTTCTCGGGGTTGATAGGACTGCAGCTATTGCAACAAATGAGATGGAGCAAAACACGAGCAACACAGATTTAAGCTGCTAGCTTGTTTTTTCTGGTTAAAATAAGCCTGCCGCCTCATCCTACTCGACTCAACTCAACTCGACTCATGATATAGTTTTCTACCGCGAGCCCAAACTGCTCTCTTTGTGCGGGGCTGCGGGGACGCCAATAGGAGCGCCAAATGTGTGCCCAGAATGAACGAAAAATAAAGGGAAAGGCACCAAAATATGAATATAAACCACCGTAAAACTCCAGGGTTCCAACGATTTTTCGTTTTCAATATGGGCTCGTGTAGAAGCGCAATCAAAAAGGTACTGCGCACAACTCTACCCAGATTCCGCAGAACTGTAGCAAGGACAGCGAAAAAAAAGCAAAGAAATCTAAATTGTTGTGTGCGCCTGTCATTAAGGAACGTTGTTCTCAAGGGCGAGAGAAACGTCATAGTATCGACAGCAATGCAAATTTCCCAAACAAGAATTAGTCGTACTGGAAAAGCCTGCTGATGGATTCACCGTGGTGAACTCGGCGAATAGCTTCAGCAAAGATGGGAGAAACGTCCAGTACCTCCAGCTTGGGGCACAGACGACGATGCTCGTCCTGGGGAACCGAATTGGTCACAATGATCTTGTCAATGGCAGATGCATTAAGACGGGGGATTGCGTCACCACTGAAGACACCGTGGGTGAGCAAAGCATAGACTTTGGTTGCTCCCTCCTTCTTCAGGAGCTTCGCAGCTCGTGTGATGGTGTTGGCAGTGTCTCCCAGGTCGTCAACCAAGATGCAAACGCGATTGGCAATATCGCCAACGAGCATCATGCTAGCGTTTCGCTGTTCAGTAAACTTAATGGGGCGGCGTTCCTGAAAGTGGGATGAGTAGTGAACGAAGAAGAGGCAGTTGAGAAATTTATATTACCTTGTGAATGAGGGCAAAGTCCATCTTGAGACTGTCAGCGATCGCGGTAGCTCGCTTCGCCCCACCAGCATCCGGAGACACGATGACGGCTTCCCTATAGCCGGGAATGTGCTTCTGGATGTAATTCTGAATGAGTGGTTTGCCGTAGAGGTTGTCCACAGGAATGTCGAAAAAGCCCTGGTATTGGGGGTCGTGCAGATCCATGGTGATGATATGGTCAGCACCGGCGCAAGTAAGGAGGTCGGCAACTAGAGTACCGGCCTGGGCCACCCACTGCTTATAGCCGGGCTTAGCCTGGAAGGTGGCAGCAACACTGTTGGGATTCTCATAATCATGGGTGGTGAAGCTTCGCTGGGATGAGGTGGAATTCTCGGCTGTATGTCCGCGACCATTGGAGCCAATACTGGACAACGTATCTGACCTCTTAGGCAAGTAATCTGTATCGTCGGTCTCTGCAATAGTCGTCTTTTGAAGTTTTTCGGATAGGCTGAAGGCACCGTTCAGGCCATGGCTACGAGGGCCGCCAGGGCGAGGTGTGGCCGGCACACTCTCAAAAGTGTAGTCTTTTTTGGATGTCTCGGTGGACTTGGACAGTGGCGCGCCAGCTTTGTTGTAGGGCCAATCCGGCTGTCTCGAGTAGGGAAAGAGAGGGACGACTGCGGTGACGCGTTTTGCAGATCCGGTCTTGCACGCGGATATCATGATGCAGAGGTCGATGAGGTTGTCGTTGACGTGGCCGGAGCCGGACTGAATGATGTAGACATCCTTGCCACGGACGGAGTCCTTGATTTCGCAACGGCTTTCACCACCAGAAAATTTGCTCAGGATACGATCGCATGAAGGAATGCCGAGCATGTTGGAGACATTCTCCGTCAGACGGGGATGCGAGTTGCCGCCGAGCAAAACGATGTTGCGGACCATGGCCGTATAGTTCGAAACTGGCGGGGAGAGGCGTCAACGACCAATTAGAAGGGAAAGAGAGAAAAACCAGGACGAATTGAGCCAGGGCCGAGAGGCGCAAGGGCAGGCCGTTGACTGAGGCAATGAAGACGTCGATGGCCTCGAGGACGAGACGGCAACAGGCGCAGACCGAAACCGATGTCGAGGTCGTCGGTTCTGTTGTGTTTTTTTTTTTTTTTTTGCTGTCCTTCCCTTGTTTCCCCGCTACAACCTGGTTGGAGCAAGAGTGGGGAGTAGCGCTGTGTTGGCAGGCGCAGGCCGGGGGCTGCAAAAAATGCCTGTGTAGCGCCTGCAGCCGACGTCCCACGTTAGAGGCTCTGCCGAGGGCTCTAGCTTCTGCGCCGATTCCGGCGACAGGTAGCAGGGAAGTTGCAGGGGCGACAGGAGCGACCTGCAGCTGTAGGTGGGCAGGCAAAAAACACAGGAAGCGGACCCGAGAAAGAAATCAAACAGAATGAGAATTCGGGCTGTCTGTCATAGCAGCATGTTGATGGGCGAGCGGGACCAGAAGATGGATAAAGACAAAATAGAAAGAGAGGAAAACGCCGCCGCCAGGCGAGAGAAATGGGGGCGAGTCGTCCTGTGGCGGACGGGGCCCGGGAGACTAGGTTGAGGTGGGATCTGGGCTCGGCGCTGACTCAAGGCGAGGTCAAGAATTTATTAAACAGTCTGATTTGATGCTGCATCTGACACAACTCGGCGACACTGAACACATTGACGCCAGGACGAGGCGGCAGAGGGCTGCCGTGTCACAAAATGGCTCACAATCATAGATATTGACGTCGAATCACGACGTCAACTGTGGGCTGTCGTTGGTATAAATCACCACACTGTGTACGGCGCGGACCACATGGTAGTCATGCATGTCGCAGCGCTGCGCAGTGGGTGATGTGCTGCGTACAAAGTGCAGGCCCATTGCGCCATCTCGGCCATTGCCAGCTCATGGTCTCACGGACATTTTGCGATCCATGGCGGTTCCGGCGGTACATAAAAACACGGAGGCCCATGGCGAGCCGACCAAGCTCCTTGATACTTTGCCGGGCTGCCGTGGCACAAAAGGCTGGCGTTGAAGTGTCCATGGTACGGAGTACACCAAGTCCACACCACAGAATTGGCACGCACACATGCACACACATATGTACGCAGTCGACACTTGCATCGTGGCGGCGGCTCTTTAATTTGCCTCGTGCCAACTTCGTAAGCCAGGTCCAGCACGCCGCCGTTTTCCGACCTACCCATCCAATTAATCTCTCCACGATTTCGAGGCCCGGGCATCTAGGTAGTAATTTGGTTTACTCCGTACTTGGCAGTGAATTGCTCAGCTGGTGCCTGGACAAGTCCTTACATGTACGGAGTACGTTGTTGCTCCATCAAATGGATTCTCGTCCCCAACCAGTGTCTCGAAGCCTTTAACGTGGCAGCCTGCTTGCTGATTGGTCGCTGGGCCGCTCTGGTGCATGAACCCATGGAAAAAGCCGGCTGTCACTCCGTCCGTCCAGTTTCGCAGTGCTGCCTCAAAATCAACTTCATCTTGACTGGCTGGCTCATTGACACCACCACCACACGCGCCGATCTGTCAAACCTGCTACCAATTGTCCAACAGTCCGACACCTCGCATACTTTCTGATATATAACACAACCATTTGGCCATTTTCGCCACCGACTTGCTTCAGGGTGCACTCCCCCTCGGCTGACCCCCTCATCTGCATATTCACGCCGCACCGTCATAAAAAATTTGCCAAGGCTTCATTCTGATCCTGTTCACCATTCGCCATGAAGATCCTTGAGTCCCAGTCAGCCGTTCTATCCAATTATGAGGTCTACCAGCACCTCACTGATCAACGTGACCGCTATAAGCAGAAGAAGCACCGCGGGCCCCCAAACCTCGAGACAGTTGTGCGAGAGGTAGGTTGCATGGTCTCATTGCGCATAGACCCTGATCTCAAACTGAGGCGAACCAAAGTAAATAAAAAATAAGCTGACAACCCCCCTTGCACTTACAGATGCTGCAGTACCTGCGGACTGCCCCCAGTCCTTTGAGTCAGAAGCCCCTCACCTACATCCCAGAGGCCATTGCTCAAATCATTGAGAAATTAAGTCCGTATGAGCTGTCAAAGGGCGAGATGGTCATGATTCTAAACCTCCGTCCGGCATCCATTGCTGCTCTCAACACCGTTATTGAGGACATGACCGAGCGTTACTCGGATGAGCAACAAGAAGAAATGGTGGGCATTGTCGCCGACGTTCTCGGTCAGTTCGAGGTAGCTGAGGCTGAGGCAAACGGGGACGCGGGCGAAGGCGAGGGCGAGGATGTGAATATGAATGACGCTGAAGCTTCATGAATGACGAGTTCTCGCTCATTCGATTGCAATTCATCGGCAGCCCGAAGTCGAACAGAGTATTCCTACAACCCGTCTCACCTCTATTATTGGAGAAGTGGTGTCGCGAACTGGGCAGCTAGACCTTCACATTACTATACAGCCCCCCTCGCTCTGCCCCCCAGCTGCAGTGGTAGTCTTGGTGGCTGTCTTGCAGATATCCTCAAAGGCAGGCTTGAGGAGCTCCCCCGTCGCAGCCGAGCATTCGACATATCGATCTGCCCTCATGGTTTGTGCCAGCTGATACGCTTCCTGCGGATAAATAATGCCATTGGGGTCGTTCTCAGACCTGAGGTCTCTCTTTAAACCAAGAATGATGATGGGCAAAGTGTCCACTCGTTTGAACGTCCTCTTAGCCTCGTCGATCCACTGCCAGTACAGGTCAGCACGTGCTTGTCCTAGAGTGCTGTCAAGGGGCTGGTTAGGTTGAGACAACGCACATATCGCTTCATGTTTATGAGACTTAGCCGTTGGCTGATATCGTAACATATAACAATCACATCCGGATCAAGAAGCCGCCAGTTGTCCGGGCTAGAGGTATCAGAAAACTCGAGACGAAACTTCTTCTCTCCAAGGTTGATATTGAATACGAACGGCTGGTCAATGTCTCGAAGAATTGGTATCGGGCTTGTGCCTTCTCCAGCGCTCAGTCTGCTGTACCGGGCGGTCAGTAGGCAAACAATCGCAACCGGGTTAGCCGAGATAGACTCAATACACACGATAAAAAAGTCGTCTTGCCACATTTCTCATCCCCCACGAGTAGTAATCTTACTGTTTCGGGGTCCATTGTGCCTTGGGTCGAGCGCAACGGTCTTATCAGTTCTGGAAGGGTGCGGGAAAAGAAGCAACCGATGGTCTTTGTATGAAGTGGTGGCTGCCAGAATGATATGCCAGGACCAAAATGTGGCTTGGTGGTCGGCTTGGCTGCCATTGCTGCTCCAAGCCACCACACGACACTAGCCACAGTTTTCCACCGAAATTTTGATGCCCGTCCGTTGACTTGCTATGCCCGCCCAGTCATGCAGAATGCAGAAAGCCCTGAAGTGAAAATGGTGTCATAAAGGCTGCATCGCACTTACATGCAGCCGGTCCACGGTTCTTTAGGGCGCAGCGTTTCTGCCAGAGCCGTCTCCAGAGCCTGTAGACCCATATACTGTCAGCCCTGTCGTCGCAGCTCGACATTTCAAAGGTCTGAGCAAACCGACCGACGGCCGAGGGTTCCAAAGGCTAATCCTCACGAAACCATGTCTGGCGAAACAAACTACAATAGTTGGACCAAAACCGGTCTTATTCAGCGACTGAAGGAGCTCGAGAGTGAACTGAAAAAACGGCCTGAAGCTCCCAAAGCTGTTTCTGTCCCTGAAGATGAACCTCGAGGTGCCATGGCCACTACAATGTCCGATGACATGGCAGGCCCTGCCAAAAAGACAAAAGCACCAAAGACAAAGCGGAGGATGGATCCCTCAAGATATTCAACCAGATTTATTGCGTTGAAGCTGGCATATTTGGGCAAAAACTACGGTGGATTCGAGTTTCAGGCCATGGGGAATCAGCCCTCTATCGAGGAGGAGCTCTGGAACGCTCTCACACGGGCATGCCTCATCTTCCCCGAGGACGAAAGGATCGTCCAATTTGACTGCTGCGAATACTCAAAGTGCGGCAGGACGGACCGTGGAGTCAGTGCCTTTGGACAAGTCATTGGGCTGAAGGTGCGCAGCAACAGGCCACTTCCCAAGAAGAGGGCCGAGACCGATGTCGCTACTGCTGAAGACATCGTCCTGGCCGACGCAGATCCCCAAGGAGTAAAGCAGGCTGAAGAAGAGGTGGAGGCGCAAGAAGAAGAGAAGCCGTTCGACGATATCCACGACGAACTCTGCTACCCACGGATCCTGAACAGATTGTTGCCAGATGACATTCGCATCCTGGCATGGTGCCCATCACCACCGCCCGATTTCTCCGCCCGATTCTCCTGCCGCGAGCGCCAGTACCGCTATTTCTTCACGCAGCCTGCTTTTGAACCAGATCCCACGAGCCTAGATTTGTCGGGGGCCAGCAAATCTCTCAAAGCGGGCTGGCTTGACATTGACGCCATGCGCGACGCAGCCAAGCGCTACGAAGGCGAGCATGACTTTCGCAACTTTTGCAAAATCGACCCCGCAAAACAAATCACCAATTTCCACCGGCGAATCTTTGAATCAGACATTGTCGAAGTGCAGGATGCTGGCTCGGTAATGCCGTACCTCCAAACCCCAGGATTCTCGTCTTCCGGGCTTGAAGGTTCCGGACCATACCCCAAGGTGTATTACTTTCACGTTCGAGGCTCTGCGTTCCTGTGGCACCAGATCCGCCACATGGTAGCCATTTTATTCCTCGTCGGCCAAGGTCTTGAATCGCCAACAGTGGTTTCCCAACTACTTGATACAGCCAAGAACCCCGGCCGACCTAGCTACGTCATGGCGGATGAAGTGCCTCTCGTCCTGTGGGACTGCATCTTCCCAGATCTCTCTAAGACGGACTATACGGCGGCAGACGCGCCCAGCAAGAGAGAAGACTGCATGAAGTGGATCTACGTGGGCGAGGAATATTCCCCGAATAAATTTGGGCAGTTTGGCGTCATGGACAGCTTGTGGCAAACCTGGAGAGGCCACAAAATGGACGAGCTGCTTTCATCACAGCTGCTGCAGCTCATATCCGGCCAAGGCAAATCTCAGGACATGGCGGAAGGTCCGCAGAGCAATCGCCGGGCGAATGCAAGTGCGCGAGTATTTGAAGGCGGAAATAGCGGACGCTTGGGTGGCAGGTATGTGCCCGTGATGAAGAAGGAAGTGCTACAGTCGCCAGAGGAGCAGAACGACCGGTATGCCAAGAGGAAAGGGTACGCAGATGCAGAAGACATGCGTGCGCAAAAGGGATTGCGTAGCAAGGAGGACAATGAATAGAAGAAACCATCTATATGTAGCACATAGTTATAAAGAAAGAAAAAAACTCGGGAGTTTCAACTCTAATACTGTGTCAAAATAATCCACTTTTAAAACAATCATTTTCCACAGAGACAGTATTAAGAAAAAGGGGGTGTCATCATTCGTAGATCTATTCTACATCCCTTTTCGGGGCCTCGTACAAACACTCCCTCGCACCCCTCCAGACCGTCTCGACAATCCTCCTCTTGGGCAGCAGCCCCGGGAAGACAATCACGACATCCTCCTCCCCTTCCACGACCACAACAAGATAGTACCTCACTTCGAACCCGATGAACGCCTCGTTCACGAAAATGTCCTGAATCTTCTCTGTGGGAATGAACCGCGTCGACGGGCTAGCGAGATACGTCGACGGCGACTCTGTCGTCTGCACGCCCAGCCCCCGCAGCACGAGGAGGCTCTCATGCGAGTGCAGCCGCAGACTGAGCACGTACAAGGCCACAATTGCCCCGGGGAGCAGCAAGCCCAGCGGAATGGAGGAGGCGACTCTGGCCAAGAACTGTCCCGTGGACGAGCGCGTGTAGCCATCGAGAAGGAACCATATTCCCTGCAGGGAGAGGAGGGACGCCGGCCGGGCGGCGGCGGAGGATTGCGAGGCGGCAAGGGGACAGGAGGACCAGCGGCCGTACAGGAGGAGCGCGGTCGTGAGGGTGAGGAGGATGCGGGCCACGAGGAGGAGCAGGCGGAGGATGCGCAGGGAGAGCGTGCGAGGAGGCAGCGTCGTGACGGTGAATTCGGCGGTTGTGGGTGACGGGCGGCGGACGCGCAGGCGCGGCGTGGCGGTTATCATGGCGGCGATTCCTTGGTGTTGGTTGTCGAGACGGATGTCAGGGAGCTGCCATGCTGCTGTGAGTTGTGCATGGAGACGGGGGGGGGGGTGCAGAGCAGGACAGCAGGCGCTTTTTGAGATTTCTGCTATTGTTCGTGTGTGTCCTTATCCCATGTGTGTAGCACACCAGCACGCGGCTGGACCTGTCATGCCAGGAAAATACAAATTGGTAGTTGCACGATGCCGGTTGAGCACGGCAGAATTGCCAAGCTGTTTGTTGACTTGACCAGAGTCGCAACTTGTCCCACCCCCAGCTCGCCAGCATCATGCTGGGGCCCCACACGCGTGCCTAGGTATATATGTTAAAATACGGCGGAGAATTACCGGCTGTAATGGTCAAACGGCGAAGTCTCTCGATTTATCTCGCGCTACTCCTTGTAACATCTCAACTATGCACCCATCCCCGTAAGATCCCCCTTGCCTGGCGCCCAGCCCGAATGCCGCGGTGGCCCGTCTTGCTCGCATGGGTAACCTGCGATTTGCCAAGCGGCCCTAAGTACTGGAGATGACACTTGAGAGAGGATTCACTCTGCAGAGGACTCTCCCCCGTCGCGTGGCGGGCTGGATTACGACCGCGAGGGGTTTGGGTTGGTTGAGCGAGATGGAGATGTCAACGCCTTATTTTTTTTAAATTTATATTCCTTCCAGTCCTTCTCTTTTTTTTTTTCCCTTTTTCTCTTATCTTCTAAGAAAACACAATCGTCCACGAGTCCTATAATTCGTATGGTTTTTCTTCAACAGACAATGACCGTAAAATACGTCGTGGTTCGTTGTAATACTCGCCGGTTCGCGGTTTCGAACCCCCAATACGGGTGGGCACTGCGCCAAGCTACACACTTCAACGTCAACACATTACGGCTATGAGCCAGCCTTTCTCCCAAAACACAACATTACACCTCACTCTCCAGTCGGAACCATAGGCAATGCGACGTAATAAACAACCTGTGGGATATATTCAAGAAATCATAACCACAACCACCATGGCCTTGGAACAAGTTGCCGCGAGGCAGCATTGTATAAAGCACCCGAGCATCGCACTCCGATCCAGCCAACGAACATCCCTCCATGCTCACAGTCTCGTTTCCTACTTCCTGCGACCCTCAAACAAACCATTTCGTCAATCATGAAATGAAAAATGCTAAATTAGGCTCAAGTGCGCATTCACAGGGCTTAGTACCATTCCCCGCTCCATTTGTACTCGCGAGCCATTAAAAATAAAAAAATAAAATAAGAACAAAGAATGGTACAAAGTGGTAAAGGAGATGGTCAAGAAGCTGATAAGAAGCATGATGCAGATAAAGGCAAAAAAAAATAACCCAGATTGTTGCCGTCACCCAATACGGCGTATGATCCTCAGCCATGAGAAAAATGCGAAACGAGAAGCAAAAAATTGGTCATCAAAGGCCGTGCTGCTTTTCTAATATCCTCTTCAAACAACCACGCCAGAAAACACAACACAACACAGCAGGCCCTAAATACTGATTCATGCAACTTCGGACGAAAGATATTGGCATCCAATATTAGCCTCAACAAGGCCAATAACGCCAAACGCTGCGTGAGAATTGAGACTAGTTTCATTCAAGACAAGAAGCCAAAGAGAAAAACAAGAGAAAAATAGAGGCCAAAGGACCAATAGCCAAGATCACTCAACTGACGTGTGTCAATGCAAATGCTGCTTCTAATAAATTCAAAACATCTCGCTTTGGTGGAGTCCGGTCGACATGTGTTTTCCATTTGGTTCAATCGCAGTCCGAATCACATCAGGGTCATACATCATTGGGGGAGGCACCCCCGCAACAGGTGATCGAAGCGTGCTTACGCGGTAAGCACCATCTGATGACATCTCCAATGGCGGCGATTTAATGCTTGCCATGGAGCCTTTGCGACTGCGACTGGCCGACCTCATCCGTTCGCCATTCCTGGGCAATCCTCCAGAGAAGCTCCCACCTCCATTACTACGTCCTCGGTTGTGGCCCCTGGAGGGAGGAGCAGGTGGTGCAAGAACTGGGACCATGCCGTCATTAGGGGCAGCGACAATTGGAGCATCATCATCTTCATCCATCACAATCTCAATCATGCCCGAAGCCAAGGCCCCGCCCTTGAGAGATCGCTGTGCATATGGCAGAGGAGCAGGGGGAGGAGGTGGCGGCATGGCCAAGTGCTGGAGCTCCTTGAGCATAGGTGGTGCGGCCAGAGCTGGAGGAGGCGGCGGCGGTACTGGCTCCTCCTGCGAACGACGTCGTCTGCCCTGTACCACCTCGTCGATGCCTCGAACTTCACCTATGCTAGCCTTCCTAGAATATCGAGTTTGCCCAGGCTCGTCCGGAATCGGGGCTGACATGCTTCGGGGAATTGCCAGTTTCTGTGGTGGTTGGTATACAGTCGACGGAAGCAGCGTGAGTGGCCCAATGCTTTCTTCCTTTTGAGGAGATGGCTCAGACGAATCGAGTTTGACATAGTTTGGCGGAATGAAGGGAACTTCTGGGGCATCTTTGCTCATCTTGCTGGTATGTTCGGCTTCAAGAATTAGTCTCATGGCTTTGGGAGTTGCTGGGAGACCAATGTGTGGCCCGCTCCTCGCATACATGCTCTTGGGTGGCTCGGTTGCACAACGAGGAGGTACATCTTCCAGGTCATTTGGTTCTGTCATCTCGACTCCAATTCGCAAGGCGGTGCTGTTGATTTCATTTGGATGCGGGATCTGTGGTACTTGTGGTCTCTTGGCAAGTGACTTTCGACGTTCCTCGAGCTCACGAGCTGCCTGCTCCTTCTTTCGTTGGCGTTCGTCTTTCATTCGCCGCAAGTCACCAGCATGTTCAGTTGAAGCTGCTCGAGTATGAGTAATCATAGGTGGAAGGGTATCAAGCGCCTCCGCAGCCTCTCTGTGGCGGCTTTCTGACCTCTCGCCCTTTGTCACCAGTGGAGAGTTGAGACCACGGTTTGCGCTTCGACTATGCTTGGCCCTGAAACTCTCTTGCTCTTCGATTGCCCTCTTGAAATCTTCTTCATCCTCGGAGCCTTGGTAATGTAGCGTTGCAGTTGCAGAAAGCGGTAGGGGTGATGATGGAGATCGCTGATGAGATCCTTCCCGAACCTGACTTCTGCCACGAATGTCCAGCGCTGGTGGCCGAGGTCGGCCGTCCGGACTGCGCCGTTGACTCCCCCGACTGGATGCCCGACTGCGAGTCTTTGCTTTGGTGCCGCTTGACTTCCTAGTCGTAACCGGTTCGCCGGCATCGTAGTATTTGGGTGTGCTCAGATTGGCGAGATCTTCCGGTGACATGGGAATTGGAGAGGTGGGCGACCTCTTGGGCTTTGTCCAAGATCGAACGGAGGCTCTACCACGTTCCTCGGACGCTTCTCTCGACTTGGTCCTTCTTTCTCGGCTTTCATGGCGACCTCGAGACGATTCACGAGCTCGTTCGGTGCTTCCGCCTCGACTGCGATTTCTTTTCGGGTAATGACTGGCAGCTTCGAGGCTATGTATGTAATCTTCACGGTGCCTTTGGCTTGTACGCAAACTTCGTCCTGCGCTGGATGTAGAGGTTATGGAACTTGCAACTGATCCGGGCCCACGGCGTCTTGAAGGCCAGTGGAAGCGAGTTGATGATGCAGCAGACTGCTCGGGGGAGGTTACATCTGCAAGTGCGGACGGCCCCAAATGTTTGAGTTGAAGGTTGACACCTCGAGGAATGCGATCACGCGAGCCGTTTCTGGAATTTGACCGAGCCTCTTGCATCCTGCTCAGGATATCATGATTAGGCGATGGAGGTCGTTCGCCTTCATAGCCCCGTACGACCCTTTGGAAACCATCCCTCATCATCATTGGGCTGGCCGTTGCAGCACGCTGTAACGAAATACCGGCAGCCAGATTATCCTGCTCCGTAGACGACATACGAACATGACCCTGGCGGCTCTCCTTTTCACTAGACTTCTCGGCAGCTTGAAGCGCCTCCCGGTTTAAGTCTGAGGGAACTTCACCGATGGATGGGAGCCTGCCGCGTCCATAGCTTGAGCCACTGGGGCGAGCAGAGGTAGGTGTATTGAATCTGCTATTGCTGGATGGGCGTAGAAATGCTGTAGTCACATCATAACCCGCTGGAGAGATAGCCGATTCAGCGATTGGAGTAACGCCAGCGGCAATTGGCGTTTGCCCGCCATCCCCTTGGGAATAGAACCTCGACTTTTGACTCTGGTCACCAAACGAGGTAATTAGTCTCAGGGCAGACGACTTAGCAACACTGCGCTGGGGACCACGTTGAACGTCCGGTGGCGACAAAGGAGGACTGAGGATCTCTGGGATACTCGGTGTGATGGCCTGGAAGTTCAGCTGGACTGCTGACGGAGAGCTCCATGGCTCGGTGGATTCCTGGTCAGTACAGGCGAAGCACCGTATTGCCAACTGCTGTTGACCATGTTGCACAGCCCATTCTCCCCATTTGCGAATAATTGCAGCCTGGCGTTCCCAAACACTCGGAAACGCAACACATGTGAGTATCAGGGCTTCCATATAGCGTTTGTGAGATACATAAATCTCGATTGCGTCGTTGTGATCACCCATGCCGAGCATGATGGTAACGGCAACATGAATATCGCCATTTTCTAGTAAACGCTGGACATAAGCCCGTCCGAGCTTATGCTGAGACTGCTGCCCACCAATTCCGCTCAGAGCGAGTAGCATCCAGTCTGACGAGCTCATATTCTCAGACGAACCGACCATGATATCGGCATCCATGTCGCCGAGCCACTTGGCAAGAAGAATGCGACTTGCTGAGCCGGCCGGGTGTCTGCTCATTTCATCCTGAATTAAATCCTCGACTGGTTTGTGCCATCCAAAAATGGTGCTAAACATTTGCCTTCTCAAGTCCTCGTTTGTGAGGCGAGAATTATCAGCCCGTATGGGATGCTTGTAGGGAATGTCGCTCAAGCGGCTACGTGTAAACTTGAACAGATCGTGCACC